CTTGGCTATGTTTAGTAGTAAATGAGTTATTGTACTTTTAAGGTGGGTGTGACAGAACTTTTGGAACTCGGTATATATACGTATACCTACGTCACAGCTCAAAAATAACATTTTTAGTGGCAAAACTTGTTACAAGAAATTGATTTTATAGTGAACACATTTTTTGCACTAAATGTTCTCAAAACATGCATTCAATAAGCATAATATCACGTCAAATGAGAAAAAATGATGGACTTGCTCTTAAAAGTGATTTTGACCCAGCAGTGAACATTTAAAAATCTGAAGGAACCAGCGACTGGGATTTTTAATTAGTATTTATTGAGGAATTTTACAGAATACAGTGTACAGGTGTTTGAAAAAAATATTCAACTGTTAAGACAAATTGATATATTATATATACATATAACTCATTGTGCAAAAGCTGGAGAATCTATGTCAGATATGAGGAGATATTTGACAATAAGTTGCACCACGAATTTTTGATAGCACAAAAAACAATCAAGTACACTTTCTTTTTTTTTTGGGGGGGGGGGGGGGGGGGGGTATATTTCCCACAGGCACACACATAAATACATCTTTCTTGAGTTTATCTAAGCTACTTTCAAAACATAGAAAAGATCATATATACAGTGGGTGTCGCATTCAACGAGGTTGCCGGGACTGGCTTGTTGTCCTCGTTGGATCATCTGACCTCTCGTTGAACGTGATTAAGACTAAAGAAAAGAAAGGAGACAGGTTATTATGTTACACGATGTACCAATACCAGTAATTAAAACAGTATTCCCCTGGATGACAAAATCTCAAACAGCATCAGTGTGCGTGTGTTTGAGCTGTGTTCTGGCCGTCATTTCTGCATTTTAAAATATTTTTTATTCCGGAACACTTCTCTGCTCATGTGGAAACATACCCTCTCACATCTAGGCCCAGATCTACAAAAAGTGAAGGCGGGAGCTTGGATTTTCTGATCAGAGGAAGAAAAGAAAATATAAAAAAATGAAGGTCTCGATCTAGACACATCCATCCAGAGTTCATCCAGTTTCACACAGCCCGCATCGCATTCCCACCCACCCCCTCCCATCCCTACCGTAGGCTAACACTCGCCTATCCTCTTGGCTTTGGGGCCCATATGACTGTCCTCGTAGGATTATGCGATTGTGCGGCCGCGTTTTTTCGCGCAATTCTGCAACATTTGCATAATTTTGGAATCTCCGCGTTTTTTCGTTTTTCACAAAACAATTCACGCCTCGCCATGTGACTAAAGGGAAGTAATCAACGTAGAAAGTCTCATTTACGTGAAAAGTTGGTTATTCCCCTTGTTAAAAGATTGATATAATGGTGATGGGTAAGGGCTTTTGTTCCTTGAGCATGTTCTATTTTTCAATCAATCAAAAGTTGTCCTCATGTCTGCTGAAGTTTCATGTTTGACGGGTGTCCCTGGTTTTAGTGATGTGCCAGCATCAGAGGTCCAGATGTCCTTTTTTTTCTCTCTCTCTCTATTTTTCTTTCCTCTTTAGACAGCTGAAAGTTACAGAGATGATATTTTTTTGTTTTTTTCTGACTGATGTGTTTTGTTTTCTTTCCAAACACTTACGAATGATTACTGATACTGAAATGTTCTGTTTTCAATTTTTCTGTAAATAAAACATGAAAATTCTTGTTGAAAAAGTGCAAAACATGTCGCGAATGCTGTTACTGTAACTCACGTAATTTTTGCATAATTTTGCATTTTCCTTGCATAATTTGGCCATCTAAATTTGCATATTCTACAGGGACAGATATTAGGAGGCACACTAAATCTAGCAATACACTGTGTTAGGAATCGAGAATGGGCCTTGTGCTTCGCGTGAGACGGAGAGAAAGGAAAACAAATCTTCGCTTTTGGGGCTGCTAATCGCTTTCATTTGGTTATCGCAACCTCGGTCTGTCTGCAACTTCGTGGAAAGAGATATAGAGGAAAAAATCAGGGATTAAGGATTGGCTCGTTGGAGCCGACTTCTCATTGAATGTGAATGTGACCTCGTTGAATGCAACACCCACTGTATGATGTTAGCAATAAGTTGAAGATGAATATTGAGGTCCCAAATTATAGAGAGAATTCCAAACGAGAAAAGATTAAAAATCATGATCATACACAATGAAAGGGTACAATTTTTTTCCCGAAGAAAAAAGCTTTGGATTTCAATAATTTTATTGGCATTCATTTAAATATATAAAAATAAGGAAAGATTAAAAACAAGTATCTTTCAAAAACCAATCAAAACGACTGTTTCGCGAAAAGAAAAAACCCAGCAAAAGTAAAAGCTTCTGAGCACAAACCCATGAAAAGACATCTCGGATTGTAATGCTACACACATTACAAAACAACCATTGTGTACTCTTCTGAACAAAAAGAAATCAATGATCTGGAATGAAATAGTTGGAAACCAAACGTATGAAAAGTTTCAAAGCAAAACTGTCACAGTATTTATGTTATGTGACCACTACTGACACAATAGAAGAAATATTCACCAGGCAAACAAACACACATGGATTATTATTACAAAGCATCACTCCACATTTTAAAAAAAAAAGCTATCTTTGACTGAAATGCATTTATATTCAAAATGAAAACATCAAATGGCAAAGCACACATTTTGATTTCATAAAAAAATATATGAACAATAATTTACTCTACGTCTATGGAACTGAGCTAAAACCTACTGTCACAACAACGTTGAGAAAGAAAGAGGAGAATTATGCAAAGATACAACTTTGTCCTTGATAAATATGCATGTTTGTGCTTTTCAACACTTTACTTGAGCTTGATTTCAGGATGTATCATGTCAAAGGAATCAGAATAATAAGAAATTAACAAAGTAGAATGTCGGTAGAAAAAAAAGATTAAAAAATGAGATCAATACAAAATTCATCTAAGGGTGAAAGTGAAATAGAAAGATGACAAATAATATGATAAGACTGTGTACAGCGATAAACAAACAAATAAGAAACTATATTATCACAATGTTTTGCAGGGAGAAATAAATAGATAAAAGAAAGATCTGAATTTCAATAGGTGAGACACTGACCAATTAGAAATTGAATTATGTCCCTTTGTTGACTTATCACTCACTGCTACAATGACACACTTTGACTTTGAACGAGAGGTAGCTTTTCTTTGTAGATAGCGTTCTGCGACAATTCCTAGGGGCAGATTTCTGAGGCTGACAAGTCAACAAAGGGACACAATTCAAACTACTGAGAAATGAAGTGAATCTCAATACTTTGAAAACCAAGGTGACCCTCCATACCTCTGTATCAGTTGGTCAGTATATTTTTATATTACAACATGCAGTCTCAAGGCTTCAATGATATTCTTTTGCAAGTCACTTGTCAGTATTTTTTGTTAAACATGGTTTTTTCATATTTAAAATTTCAAACCCATGAAACCTTTTTTACTTTTTTCTTAGTCCTGAGTCTTTGTCGTAAAATTCTATTTACTCTCCATCTAATTTTCCTAGATTTTAGTCCTTCGATCCCCTTGTTTCATTCACCTCAGAATACAGTGTTATTCCATTCACGATTAGGATGAATGATTTATCCATTTTGTATAATTTTCACCGTCTTTGACTTTGATTGTAGTTTGAAACAAAGTCATAGCTTGATGGGGAAGTCATGAACTTGTTGATAACAATGAGTTCACAAAATAACTAGTCATTACAGACAACAAATTTTGCCTAGATTTATTATAAATGATATAAAATTAAGTCCAGAAAAAAAGAAAACCCAGTCAAGAAGTAGGGCAAATTCTGTTCACTGTAATTTAGTGCATATATATACTAAGAGTTGTATTTAAAAACAAACTGTAATCTGTGAAAACTATACATGTAGCAGTAGGCCTACACATATATTGTTCACACAAACCTGTTTTGTATTGGCAAGAAAGGAAACAAATTCAAAATCTAGATATATACAAACAGTCGAACCTGCCTTAACAGAAACCTGTGTAAAACGGAAACCTGTCTTAATGGAATCTCCCCCCCCCCCCCTCCCTTGATATATTCCTCTTTAATTACCTGTATAAAACGGAAACCTGTCCAACGCGGAAACGGAAAGAAAAATCTGCTCCCTTCTGAGGGTTTCACCTGTCTAAGACAGAAAATGCTTTGTCCGCTCAACCCTGATTGAAAACAAAACTCGCAAGTTTGGTTCCGACGGCTCTAAACTTAACACTATGGCCATGCCGCTGGGCGAAGAAGGGGAGTAGGGGTGCAATTTGGGGGTAGATGTTACCCTATCATGTGAGCCCTGAGCAATGCAGATGGTCAGTGTAGTGTGAGTGTGAAATTTCACGACTACCCGTGAGAGTGCTCGAGTCGCGAACCACTACGGAAACTTTCTTGGGTAGCCAGAAGCCAGAGGTGTGAAATTAGATTGACCAATGCCAGCCTAGAAAAGAGTTCCTCGAATCGTTATTACGTGATGGCAGTGAGGGATGGCATTAGTGGGTGGGGTTAAGGGTGGAAGCAAAGATGTTCAAACGTTCCTGTTTTAATAGGTCAAACAGTGGTCCTATGAAAGGCAAGCACTGGTGGTAATTGGATAAGTAAGACTGACGCATGTCATTATAAGAGAGGATAGCAGCTGAGAGGTGTGAAGTTTTGACCACTGCTTGTCGATCGGACAAGCGATCCTTGATCCAACCGGCCGGGCCTTTGAAACCCCCCCCCCCCCAACCTCCATCTCCCCCTAAATTCCCCTGTCTAAGACGGAATTTTTTTTCTGGCTCCCGTCTTACACAGATTTGACATATATATATATATATATATATAATATATATATATATATATATATATATATATATATATATATATATATATATAATATATATATAATATATTATACGTACAAGTTCATAATCTAGTGTTACCTCACAATGCCAGTCAAACTACAGTGCAGCCTCTCTATAACGGCCTTCGATTTAACGACATCCTCCGTATAGTGACATAGGGCCCAGGTCCCGATTTTTTCCTTATATATCATTAGTAACCTAATATTTTTGGTTGCCTCTCTATAACAACAACTCTCCATAACAACATTTTTTTTTCGGTTCCCGACGACGTCGTTATAGAGAGAGGTTGTACTGTATTTGTTCTAGTAGTTGTAGGACAGGGCCTTAGGATAGGTCAATATTTCCATCTATTGTGGAACTGACAACAGAAAGCTATCCTCCTAGTCAGATCACATCCGTACCAGGCAATGATGTAAAGTTGAAAGGTGATTTCGGTGAGCACAAATCAATTTTTTTTGCAAATCTGTGTTTCATTCGCTTATGAAAAAAGACCTGCAAAATCCTTGAAGGCATTCAGAGTGCATTTCATCAGGAACTTGTTAACTCAGATCACCTGTGACTCAATGAAGATGAAGTTGGCGAGATGCCTGGAACACTCATATCAGGCCTGTTTCGATCATACGTTCTTTGATATCCTAAAGGAGAAAAAAAACAACATGCAACTAATGAGTTGAACTAAAAAATAGTGATTTGCATGCATTTTTAATAAAGGGAAAAGAAAATAATACTAAAACAAGTGCATGCTGGATCCCGGAGGGTAGAAGTACATGTGCGACATTTCGTCATTTGAGGGGTTCCACCTCCTGCAGACGGAGTAGTTGGTCTATTTACAATCCCCCCAAAAACAGTATACACCATTTTTACAAAGAGCCATAAAGCAGCCAAATAAAATCTCCACTGAAGATAGGAAATGAAAATCTCCCCAAAGAAGAACAACCAACATACCTAGGAGTCAAACTTGACAAAAGTCTAACCATGAAAAGCCAAGTGGGGGCGAAGTTTAAGTAAAGAGAAGCACATCGAAACAATAGCAGTCATACAGTGCAGACAAGAAGCAAGAGAGAAACAACAGAAGGAAAGAGAAAAAGCAAGACCTACTAGTGGCGCCCACTTACCACCCTTTCTGGGACACATTGTCAAAGAAACTGGTAGGAAACCTCAAAACATCTTGACAATCAATTACATGTATTCAGGAGTATCAGAGAACGAAATGGCGAGCTCATGGTTTTTCTTGACCAGTGTGTTTCATTTTGAATTTCGTTCAGATGAGTATTGCTCAAATATTGGTTTGCTCCCTTTGGAGATCTTTTAGACTTTACTATTACTATTAACTTTACTTTTCCAATCCAGCGTCCAGTGGCCATCTGGGTTCTAGCCCTTCGGTCTGTCAATATGACAAATAATTTACAGATGTCTATCAGCTGTGTTTTGTCACTAAATAAAATATTTCCGATACCTAGGGAGGCAGGTAGGTAGGTGCTATGCAGGTAGGTAAGTGCAAGGCAAGTAAAGAAATGCTGTGATACTGTTTCATCCTGGCAGTCACACAACAGGTAGTCAGTAGAGATGGGCGGGAAGCGCTTTTTCCTTCCCGAGCGAGAAGACCGAGAAGCTGACCTACTTCTCGCCAGGACCGGTACCAGTACCGGTACCGAAAAATGCTTCTCGTCTCGTGACCAATTTCTCTTCTCGCCCCGCAGTACGGGAACTCGCTCAGCGAGAAGGCCCGCCGTGGCGGGTATCTAAACTGGGCTAGCCCTCTTGTGCAGGCGCAGGCGGTGAAGGAAGGTAGGGAGATCTAGGCCTAGACCCTGATCAACTCCCCACTCGCCTTGTCTCGCCACCCTCTCCCCTCCCTTTCAGTTTCACACACAGGACGGCACGGTGATGGGTGGCACTATCTGCATGTCATTTCTCACCTCTCACTCTCGTTTACTGTTACTCGTTATGTCAAGCCAACGAGCAGTATCACTTCTCGGTACCGGGCAGTAGTTTAGTGCCCGGGGAAGCGACGGGAAGGGCATTTCTCGCGAGAAACGAGTACTCGGCTCATCTCGTGCCTGCCCCTAGTAGTCAGGTGGGTTATCCTTGCGGATCCTATTGAGGTAAGAATTCAGTGGGAAGTGTTGTGTTCGCCGGCGAAAGAGAGTGACTTGTTCTCTTCTAATGTAGAGCATCTTTTGAGTTGGGAGCAGTCATGTGTGCAAATACAGCTCATCCACTTTTGCTCAAAAGCCCATCCATTCAACCACTATTCCCTGCTATTGCATTTGATGATGTTCTTGACTGTCTGTTGTGATACCGGGCTTTGAGGTTGAGTTTGTGATGCTCCGTTCTTGGCAGGGGTGTTTGCTATGCCATTTCCTGGAATGTTGCTGTGGCCAGGTATCCACTGTAAAGTCAAATCAACGGCATAGGTCTGCATGAAGTTGTTAATTGTTAGAGTTAGAGCAACAGATAAGTAAGCTGGGCTTTCGAAATTCATATTTTCCAAAGCTTGGAGTAAGGCCTACTGATTTACCATTTGTAAAGATTACTGTGTCCTTGATTTTGTCTGGATATATGAAAATGTTGATCCGGTGGAGGATTGCTGCTTCAATGGCGATGGCTTCTGCTTCATAATTTGTGAGGCAGCGAGGTGGAATCAGACTCTCGTCAAAATAATCAAAGTGAAGAAAATTCCATTTTTCCGCAGGTTTATGAATTTTTATCAAATTTTTGTTTTTTTTTAGCTCAACACCTTTCATGCCCATTAAAGAACTCATTTCAGTGTGAATTTTTCTGAAAAACGTTGATTAAAGGCACAAAAAATGTAAATTTTCAGTAAACACGGACTCTTAAGCCAAGGAAATAACTAATCTTTGGCGGCCATTTTCTCACTAATTTCACTTCTGAAAACAGGTGACCTCTACCTCCTTCTTTCCCAAATATCTCGACTTGCATTCAAGACAAATGGGTTTTTTCTCTTCTTCCAAATAAAGACAAGTGAACAAGCTTTAAGAAGATACTCTACATGCCCAAAAATTGACTTTACTTTTACTTCACTTTACTTTTCCATTTGGGTTCTAGCCCTTCGGTGTGTCGATATGGCAAAGAATTTACAGGTTTTAATCAGCTGTGCTTTGTCGCCGTATAGAGTATTTCCGAAGTCTGGGGAGGCAGGTAGGTAGGTGCTACGCAGGTCGCAAAGTGCTGGGCAGTTAAAGAGGTGGTGTGGTACTGTTTCATCCTGGCAGTCGCACAACGGGCAGTCGGGTGGGGTGTCCTTGCGGATCCTATTAAGGTAGGAATTTAGTGAGTATGTGTTGTGTTCCCAGGCGAAAGATCGTAACTTGTTCTCTTCTACTCAGGGAATTTATTGACTCTTTAGAGTTGGGGGCTGTCATGTGTGCAAATAGTGTTCTTCCAGTTTTGCCCATTGCCCATCCATTCAGCCACTGTTCCCTGGTGTTGCATTTGATGATGTTCTTGGCTGTCTGTTGTGATACTGGGTTGTGAAGTTGTGTTTGTGATGCTCCCTTCTTGGCAAGGGTGTCTGCTCTGTCGTTTCCTGAGATGTTGCTGTGGCCAGGTATCCACTGTAGTGTCGGGTCGACGGCATAGGTCTGTATGAAGGTGTTGATTGTTTGAGCCATGGATAGGCAGGCTGGGCTTTCGAAATTCATGTTTTCCAAAGCTTGGAGTACTGACTTTCCGTCTGTGAAGATAATAGTGTTCTTGATTTTGTTTGGATGTTTTATGAAAATGTTGGTCAGTTGAAGGATTGCTGCTTCAATGGCGATGGCCTTAGCCTTGTAATTTGTACAAGAAGTACCACATGCATCAAATAGCTCTTCACATATTTTGTCAGGATGTTCAATTCTTACCCCAAAGCCTGCGTTTACAGTTCCCTTGAAGGTTGACCAGTCGGTGTAAATATGAATAGAATCACTAGGGTAAGAGTCAATTGTCTTCAGAGCTCTTGTCTTCAGTTCTACTGGGTCACATTCCTTTTTCACTGTCTCTTTTATGAGGGAAGTTTTGATGTTGGCATTCTCGATGTTAGTGTTTGGGGGGAGTTCTGGTCTTAAGGGTTTCAGCATTTCTCTGTTACAAGGAAGATGGTGTTTTTCTGTTAGTTCAGTGGCTGCGTCAAGTATTGATCTTCCATGAATCCGTTTCTTTGGTCGTCTCTGTTCAATTATTTTCCTGTTTGGGTATTTTTTCTCTAGTCTTTTGTAGCGCCCACTCATCTCCACAAATGCTGCCTCTCTCCGCAAGTCCAAGGGTTCTAGGTTCGTATGGATTTCACAAGCTGTAGTTGGGAGTGGATCTCAAAGCTCCCCCAAATATTGACGAGAGCCTGATTCCACCATGTTGCCTTACATTTGTACAAAAAGTACCACAGGCATCAAATAGTTATTCCCACGTCTTGTCAGGATGTTCTATTCTTACCCCAAAGCCTGCCTTGATAGTTCCCTTGAAGGCTGACCCATCAGTGTAAATATGGATTGAATCACTAGAGTAGGAGTCAATTGTTTTGACAGCTGTGGTCTTCAGTTCTACTGGGTCACATTCCTTTTTCACTGTCTCCTTTATGAGAGAAGTTTTGATGTTGGCGTTCTTGATGTTAGTGTTTGGGGGAGGTCTTAAAGCTTAAGGGTTTCAGCATTTCTCTGTTACATGGAAGGAGGTCTTTTTCTACAAGTTCGGAGGCTGTGTTGAGTGATCTTCCATGGACTTGTTTCTTTGGTCATCCCTGTTCAATGATCTTTCTGTTTGGGTGTTTTTTGTCTAGTCTCTTGTAGCATTTACTCATCTCCATTTTTTAGACTTTTTAGACAAAAAAACCATTATGCTATGAAATAGCCACTTTTTCTGAATAGAGCTATACTCATACTTGAGTCTGACTCAAGCAGGAAACATAAATCATCATCTAATTGGCTGGGAAAGCATGATTTGAACAATATAAAAATAGTGAAAGTTTAACATGGGATACTATTTCAGATTGTAGACGAAGTTGGCAAAGGGTAATGGCTTCTACTATGTGCTATTTTTTATACCAATTATAGTAGTCTCCACCTAAGATCCTGGTGATTGGGATTCTAGCCGATGCACCTAGGGAAGAATCTACGGTGACCCATGTTCAGGCCCATAACCGTTAAAATGGTCTCCCATCACTCTATAATGAACTAGTGTGACCCCTGTATGGGTTTATGACATATGGCGAGCAAAGAATGGTCAACCTTGATGACCAGTCACCATGGCATAAGGCATGCCATTTTCACTTATTATCCTATCGTGAGTCTCAAGATCTACCCTTATCCAGTAGCCCCTCCCCTTTATTCCTGTCCAAAATTTATAGATTTCCATGTCTGACCCAGTTCCCCCAAGTTTATCATTATGCACCATTACGTTGTGACCACACCAATTAAAAATCAGTCTGTCTCGCAAATTCGGGAGTATAGGAGTTCACAGTTCCATGATCCCAACTGGAGCGAACTTGTTGGCCCTACCCACACAGCATGTGATGCAAGTTTAGGCGCTGAGCTCAGATGGGAGTGTCACATTGGAGATAACAAACATGTCAGCGAGTTCATACTGTCAACTGTGCCCACCCGGGTTTTTGTTCCATAAATTATGATGTGAAATGCGGGATCTTAGCAGAATGTACACCTTCAGAGCGGGATCTTACGGCTGCCTTTTGTAATAAAAATTCTGTTTTCTTGAACCAGCGGGATCTTAATTCGAACTGGGATCGTAAACGGCGGGATTCTATGAGGAGACATGTAAAAAATATCTGATCGCATGATTGTAAATAAGATTGCAAAATACAATATGAACCAATCTTATTAGAACATACTTTAAACTTTATAGATGTAAATAAAAGTAAAGTTAACTTAACCTGTGTAAAGTTGTCAAGGTGGATTAACTGTATAACAGAGTGTCTATTAAGGATTCTTTTCAAGGTTTAGACTTTTCTTCACTATAGACGGTGAAGTTGTTGGCCGATAAGAGTTGGCTTATAACACCACACAGAGTTCATTTGATGTTGCTATTTACACCAATCAATTTATGAAATACAGTATAAGAAAACTCAAGGTGTTGTATATACTTTTTTTTTTTTAAACACCCAAAATAAAATAAAATAAATAAATAAGTAACATTTGTATAGCCCATAACCTCGCTCTACAGCAAGCCCTATGCATTCTACACAATATTATTACCCCAGCAGACCATGTAACCCTCAAAAACATTCTCAGCTTCCCGGGAAGCATACAGTGTATGCAGCTGATTAAGCACTCAAGCACTAAGAAACTGACAAAATCTTTCACTGTCTATAGCTGGGTATTCATTCCCACCTGGGTGAAGTGAGGAAAATTCGTGTAAAGTGTTTTTCCCAAGGGCACAACGTTGGATCCCTGACGGGATTTGAATCCATGACCTTATGGTTGCGAATCCGAGAGCCTAACCACTTGGCCACAGATACCACAAAGGCCAAAAGCTTCAGCTTCGTTACGATATATTGATTCCAAGCAAACCATATTCCCAAGGACAAAGTGAAATGGCATTTCAATTTCATAATTCTTACCATAAGGAAAGTATCGAACAACCATCTTCACTGTTGTATTGAACTTCAGTACCTTGACAGCCTGTTGGAAGAAAAAGTGAAAATAGTGAAAAAATATGTAAAATGCTCTGCTCAGGCTGTCACCAATATCGTTATTCAGCCAACTTAACAGAATCCAGCAATAAAATTGGTCATAAATTTATTTTTGAATTCAGATGTGGATTTGTTTGGGGGGTTTTTTCTATCAATAACAGGAGCTACAAAATATAGGAAGAAAAATTGAAATGAGAATTCTCTTGTTTTTTTCAAAACGTTGCCCTTTGGATTCATAAAGATTGTATGGTGGAAGACAGCCCTTTCAGTTGACCGCTTACAGTCGTCCACCCCTGCTATGCATTAATATGGGCTCTGGACCATGGCACAAGGGGGACTGTGAAAACAAATGAGTCACAAGACCAACTACAACAATAGTAACATGCGAAAAGAAGAAGACCAGGACTAGTCCCAGAGGTGCCAAGCCACAGAAAATAGGAGATGGCACTTGGGGGAGGATAACAGAAGACAGGACAGCCTCACATGCTACTTATTGGAGACAGTAGCTCTGACAAGAAGCACTCTCTTTTGGGTCACTGATTGGCGCAACAAAAACACAATTAACTCCATTTCCGCAAAAGCAATCAGCCAAAGACAAACCCATTTTACTGCTCAACACTACACACCACTTCTTCCAAATCATTGATGTTAAGCACAAAAAGAACACTGACATCAGGGATTAAATCAGCTGATGAAGATCTTGCTGCACTTCTCAAATAAAGTAGATCGGGTGACGGGCAAGATTTCATGCAGAAAGGCAAAGATGGTGAATGTTTTTGATACAATTGTTACTTGGAATAACTGTACCTGTAAGTACAGCGGTCTGTCAGATCACACCATCAGAGGGTAACAGAATACCCTCATTTGTTCTGAGGACAATGTGACTGTCGACAATACTGTGGATGCTGAATCCAGGTCACTCCAACTGGTGAAGCATACTGGTCCTGGTCATCTGCATATGGTGGCTTGCAGTCCCTGAGCAAAATCAGCAAGGAACTGTTCCTGTTCCTGGACCTCTCAGTTGACCAGGCGTGTTTCATCATCAGCATCACTACTGACCCCGTGGGTTACATGGACTATGGTCAATATTTTTGTATCATTCAGTACAGACCAATGATGATGATGACACCGAGTACAGTCATTCTTTCCACAAATCGTGTTCGAGACTCACTCTACCTCTACCAAACATCCCCGTTGAGAGCTACAACACCTGGAACTGATGACTGTGAAGCAAAAACCAATCTGACGACTTCACAAGAGGTTGGATGAAGAGAAACTCAATGGCCTGCCGAAGACTTCAAGAAGTGCAGCGAAAAGAATCACTAAGAATCCTTCAGTGGAAAGCAGATGGCTTACTTATGAAAGTCATCGGGCTTGGCGTACGACTAGGGGAGCACAAATTTAATATTTGCACGATCAAGGAGTCAAAACTAATAGAGCCAAAAAGGAAGATTCCCAACCTAGAACAAGGAGGTTTCACATCGATCAGAGAGAAATACAAAAATCGGTATAGCAGAGACGGCATCATCTCCTACATCAAGAATTCCCTGATTTTTTAAACATGTCCAATACACTTCCACTAGCTGAACTAGTTTAGTAGTTTGGTAAAAGTTTGACGGCGCTCGCAACTGCACAAGGTCATATATATATGAATATGAGCATGTAAAACACAAGCCAGCTGCATTCACAGCATGGCTTGATTTCGGTCAATGATCATATTAAAATGTTAAAAATTCATGGTAGAAATCTCAATCTAAAAAAGACAATTTACATAATATTAAAATAATCGTATTTACAATTAATTTATTGTAAAGGCCTCTATAAAAACGAGATTCTGTTGGGATAAACTATGGAGAACAGATCTTGTAATTTTGCACAATTAAAATACTTTCTTCCGGCTTTCCAAAGTCTAGACATTCTGCTATCACTAGCCGTGTGATTTAACCACCTAAGTGCCAAGAAACAAATTTTTCAGAAGAAGAAAAAAACTGTTTTATTTCTTTATGAATCAGAAATTCAGATGATGTAGGACAATGGCCTGTAACTGTAACTATAATTTTTTTTAAAAACTCCCCGAAATCACAAAAGAGTTCCCTTACCGGGTCTGTATGCTTTGTGACTTTGTTCCCGGTTACCGGGTCTGTATACACTCCCTTTTTAAAAAGCTTTCTTAAATAAGTTACTGGACAGGAGGGTTAGACCTACCAAATCTGCGAGATTCAACCGCGTAAGTGACAGCATGATGGCGTCTAGGCCTTTGAACCATGTTAATCAACACCACTCGACGGGCGCCATGCCATTGGTCGCTTGGGCGTTTGAGAAATCAACAAAAGCAAATCATAATAGTTTTAAGAGTAGTTATAAAGTTAAGAGTAATTATTTCAGTTATTTGGTTGGGTCTTTTGGGGCAGGACCGTTTTGGACCCATGGTGTTGGTAAAAAAGACCATTCATTATAACGTTCAATTTGTACTGGATGTTTTTGTTCAGCGTGTATAAAAGGCAACGAAAGTTTGTGACAACGGGGTCGTATCTGTTTCCACCAGGTCTGAATGGTCCAGAAATTGAACATCAAAGGGTGGAGGGGGATATAGTCTTGCTTTCTTACAAACGTTCAAGATTATCCATGAGCACATAGACCAAACCATTTTTCAGGGCCCTTTCGATTTCGCTGTGTGTGCTGTCCACTTCCATTTGCGCTTGTTCCTTTTTCAAGGTATTTGTGTTGAACAGTTTGTTCTATCTGGTACAAATGTCGCTGATCGCATTTGACAAGATAGCGTTGTGGTGCTGATAAGTACAGCCATCTCTGTATATGAACATGGCATATTTAGGGTCAGTACGCTTCTCCAGGAAGTTACCGACACAAGAAGAAAATTCATTCTTAATCAATAGTCCTTCTCCTTCATGCCAAATTGTAAAAAATATTGACAGCTAATTTGGTCCTACTATGATATAGTGCGGGAGAAGCGTTCAACGCCATTCTAACAAATCCGCTTCCAAGTCCATGCACGCTCGACACAATCTGATCCCATCAACAGCGTTTTGTGCAAGCTTTTTGTTACTCATTGTTAGATTCTTTCTCCTACCCTGCATACTTCACATTGTTCCTTCCGACAAACATACAACAACAGGTTGTTCTTTTTTAATCTCTCTAAAGTCACTCTCTCTATAAGGGCCTCTGAGGCTTTGAACGTGTTGGTCAAGATAGATTTTGCCTGTATTCTGTCTGCAGTAATGGGAAAGCAATTTCGTCAAGTTAGTCAAAGAATTACTTATCACTAAATTTCTTGTCCTCTTCTGCTCTCTCGTAAGTTGACAATCATGGAGCTCCCATCTCCAAGTAATGTAAACCGTCTTTGTAACAGTCATGAATAACCACTGTAGTGTGAGAGCAGTTGTATGCAAATTCATTGTTTTACATACAGGTAGAGCGTATGAAATTTGTTTCAAATTGAGGTGTAGAGCCGGAGAGTTGAAGTGGAAGGTTCGTTGAAGAGAGAATTTTCAGGGCGAATATGTTTACGTATAGCTTTTTTTTCTAGTGACAAATCAAGTATCATCTACCCGGCACTGATTAGCTAATCAGAAAGAGTAAATGACAGACACATCAAGGGGGCACAATTAAAGTAAATTGAGAAATGCAAAAAGTCGCAATAAAGACATTTTCCAATAGTTGTACTGAATATGAAATAGAGCGCATATACTTTTAAAAAATTCATTCGTCAATAGCTTTTGCCACAATTTACCAACTTGGTCAAGTTAGCATTAACATATTCTTTGACGCCATCTTGCCCTTTCTCAACTACACTACTAAACCTGGAGAAATTACGCAAGCTGCCTTGACAAAATCTTCTGGCTATCCATAGAGTTCGATCTGAGTCGAAGTTAGCAAATGCAGCATTTTGTTTTAATGTTACCGTCCTGTCCGTTTTGACAAAGGCCACAGTCGTGAGGGTCACGCCACCAACACGACAGGTGAACACCCCAACAAGCCACTGAATCTGTGTAATTCAACTGCCCATTAGCTACTGGGCTGCAAAACTGGCACTTGGGCACTTCAATCACGTGGAAATTGGGGACTAGAGTGATATAGGCGATTGATTTACTGAAGGATTGAAACTCTTTGCAGTAATCTTTCAAGCTCGGGATTTTAACATAAGATGTATCAAAGGCTGCACTACATAAAGGGATCAAAAAGTGATTTTTGAAAATTTTTGTCACTAGGCGGTTGAATCACGCAGCTAGCGTAACATGTGTTTAATGGCGAAATCTGTATTGCATCGACCCAGAATGGTTTCTCATCTCCCAACTGGAGGTATTTATGTGTCAGGGAGGTGTGTCAGATACGCAATCGAGTAAAAATGACTTCATCTCTTCTGGAGAGGCCCGAAGGTTTTTGTGGACCCAGTTTGGACATGCCATTATAAAGTTTATTGTTCATCTGTTTACTCTAATGTGTCTTCCACGGACTGGAGACTAGCTGAACTGAAACATCTGTATGGTATACAAAGTACAGACTAGTGCAGTGGGGTTTTATAATTTGTAATATGGTTATTAAGAATAGTCTTCTTCCCTGGGGTGTCAAGGACAGGGTTGTAGTCAGGTATAAATGTAAAGTAAACAAAGGCTTGATGAAAAAAAGAGGTCTCCCTGGGCTTGTCATTGTCAAGTAAAGAAAAAAAAAAGGAAAATTATTGCTTGCAAAAATAAAAGAAACCTTCGGAACTACAGAATATGCCACAAATATTTGATCTGGATTGTGCACCACAACACACCATACCATGCACCCACAGTAGTTTATTATTTCAAGATTCAAACAATGATCAGCATCATCATTTGGTGCCTCGCCGACAGGCATGGCCGATCATGGACCTCCATTTCACTCTGTCTTGCGTTGCAACGATGGTGACCGTCGTTCTTGCTGTTCCCAGCCATGTTGTCAATTTGTCCGGTTTCTTTTCCCTCTGTCTGCCTCTGCCTCTCTTTCCATCAAACTTGCCTGTTCTTACAATATTCTCCTATTAGATGCTTCTTTCCGCATTGTGTGTCCAATGAAATTGGCCTGTCGTTTTTGTAGATATTCGTCATAAGCTGTTGTCTGCAATTTGCTTCAACCAAGAGACAAAGAAAGATTCGTTTTTAAAAAAAATTCTATCACTGGCCTACAACACAAAAGGGCAGGAATTTTTAAACACCTCATCAACTTTGTGTTTGCCTTACCACTGGCTTTGGCACTTCTAAAAAGTGGCGCTGAGCAACAACTACACAGGCTCAAAGCAAAGAGGATGTTCAAGTGTGATAGCTGCATGTGGCGTAGTGGCATAGACAGTCCAGGTCTGGCAGAATTTCTTTCTTTATTCACTGGGAAGTTAGGCAGGGTATTACGGTAGCTGAGTTCTTTTATAAATCGGAACCAGGGTTATTATGGACATATTTTTCTTAAAATGTAATAGAAATAGTAATGATACTGCCAAATTCATAATGATGGGCAGCCCTGCTAGTGAGACGGAGTGAGCAATGGGCAATGTTCTGTACCCCTGGTCAGATCCCACAAATTTTATCAGAACATAAACTTGGCGATCTGCAATCTCCCGATCTTTACTGAAACCTTTATCTTCAGTGAAACTCCTTCCTCTGAGACACATATCAACCCCTTGACATGTGAGGGGAAGACTGGGGAACTAGTTTCTTGACAAAAGTCGTAATGAACAATGGGACGCACACATGCATCACCACTAAATCTACTACCCCTTCACCTTCTCCAACCATGTTGGATGGTTTAAGTGCCCCTGCCATTTCTATCTTAATGTGTGTGGATCGACATGGAGTAGGAAATTTTCATGGTGTACTGTGGATGGAATAGGAAGCTCTGACAACACATTTTTATATCCATCACACTTCACATCAAGGTGAACCAAGACCTCTAGCAGGCAGAAAGCTGACATATATTAATAACACACTTCTCAACATAACAACACAAGATTAAGGACAGAACAGAACACTAAAACCAAAACAATAGCTAAGGGATCTCAGAAAATCCCCGGGAGAGGCTCAGCCTGACTTTATATTCAGTGAGCTAAGGTCCACTATCTCCAAAACAGAAAACCTGCGTGGACATGACATTCACTCCAGCAGATGGAAGACACCTACAAACACATAGAGTACAGCAATAGCAACATCATCTTACCTCTGCATGATCCAAAGTGTTGAAATCAATACCATTAACCTGCAAGATCTGGTCACCTTCCTTTATACCAAGGTTTGCAGCTGCACTTTCCCGCATTACCTGAGGATGTGGTGACAGCAAAAGAGCACATTACACGGATGATATTGAACAATAACAAAACAATTAAAACGGGAATAAAACATAGTCGAACCTTATAAAGAATTCATTCTGTGAGATTCAATTGAATAATGCAAAAATTGCAATTTTTGGTTCACGACCTTGTAGTCCAAAACAGATGATAACAGATCATACAGTTTGACAGCTTCATAGAAAGCTTGAGAAGCCATGTTTCCTAGAGTAGAAGGTAATAGAATGTGAATTTCATGTCTTACATCCCCATCAATACATAAAATGCAATCTACATTCATGGCGAACTATTCTGAGAAGATTATAAATACTCAGAGGAAAAAGAAACGCAAATAAGTAAAGCATGAATAAAACACACTAAACTCAACAGGGGTTTGCATGTATACATGAAATTTTAATTCGTCCAATTTACACAGCCATGAGAGTGTCAATAGGTGGCTGTTTTAGTGTAGTGTACTCATTACTACGTTATGTCTATGACCTTGACCGTGGGACAGAAAGTCAGTTCCATGTGTGACCTTCGTTGGCTGAAGTAACTGCTCTGCACCTTTGACCCAAAGAGTTCACCAGTGTTTATTTGTCGACCTGGGATCTGTACCCACACCTGGTCGATGGCTGAAGCCAATTGAGTTGTAAGTGGTGGTGGTTGCAGCTAGTTGAGCTGTCTCTGGATAGCGTCTAAAGGGGAATGATTGTCATTTAAGTCAGGTGAATGAGCTGGATGAGGCAAAATATTGATGTTGATCTGCCCCATTGTGATACATGGGCAGTATGACATGAGGTCTCGCGCTTTCTTGCTGGAAAAAGAAACTTTAGAAAAAGGGCACCACATGAGGCTGATGAGCATGGTCAATGTAGCGCTGACCCACTTTCTGGAAGAACCTGGGTCCAGTTCCTTGATTTAGAGCGATAAGTTCCCAAATCATAATGCTTGACCCTCCCCAAGGGTCTATCTCCAGGTAAATGGCATCAGGATAGCACGTTAGTGGATGCGCCCGTTTGACGGATTAACGTAGAATCTGCTCTTGTGTGTTAACAGCACCATTCTCCGTTGTCTGTTCCTCCAGATGCTTTGCGTTTGGTACAGGACTTGGTCTTCAGTAAACCTTAGCTTGCGAAAGCCCGATTGATTTTTGCTCAGCAAATTGTTGCTCTCTAGAAATACATCAGGTGCGTCTTGACGAGGGTCTCCATCAGCTTAGCAAGGCAGCTGGTGAGACTGATGGGGCGGTAGGACCCAATCTTGTCTGCAGGCTTATTCTTCTTGGGTATCGGTATGATTTTGGCACGTCGCCAGCTGTTTGAGACAATGGCCATTTCCGAGGAAAGGTTGAAAAGACGGAGCAGGGCAGAGGTTGCAATGGGTCCAAGGAGCTTGATCATCTCATTGGTTATGCCATCAAGCCAGGGAGATTTGCCCTTTTTCAGCTTTCCTCTATACATACTGTCAGTTCAGCCACGGTGAGAAGAGAATCATAGCCCGTGTTCTGGTCAATAGGAAGGAGTTTAAGCTTTTCAATAAGCAGGTAGTGCCGGCGCTTGTTTGCCTTGTCGAGTTTTAGGCGGCTGACAGAGGCGTGTTCACAGCAAAAGGCTTCAGCATTGCTTCTATCTCCTTTTAGGGTTTTATTGTTTACTGTGAGTGCGCTGCCGGTGGAGGGGGTTTTCTTGCCTGAGATGGCATTTATGACCCGGAAGACTTGTTGAGGGTCAGTCTTAAGGGACATCTCTGAAGTAAAGTTGCGCCAGCAGTCATGCTTCATCTCGTTGAGGAGGGATGTAGTTCTTTTAGACGCCTCCTGGTAGTTTTCAATTTCTACTCGAGTTTTGGTTGCAATGGCTTTTTTCCTTAATTGAACTCTTTCTTCTATCAGCTAGTCCGCCTCTTCATTCCAGAAGGGTTTAGGAAGTTTACGAGCGCCCTTTGGGATAAAATGGCTTCAGTTAGGCATGTGATAAATTTTGTGGCATCCGTCATGTTAGGCATGTCATTTGCAAAAGTCTCTGTTTCCATGAGGGCAGTGAACAGTGACCAGTCAGCCTTCTTGAAGGTCCATTTGACTTTGCTCCTATGGATGGAGGCAGAGTGTCTTCAGAGTTTGATGTTGATGGCTTTGTGGTCAGAGACCACAATACTTTCAAAAAGAAGGAAGGAGCTGACCTATGGTCATTGGTTTTTTTTTATGTACTTCGTTTTACATTGAGAAAAGCGCTAAAAACAAGTTTTAAATAAGAATGCCCATAAAATTAGGAAATTACTACCTAGTTGGCTTACTCTGTAATAATTATGAGCAGTTAAGACAAACAAAAAGGAATGATGTAGGATTTGTCTTAATATGACCATTAGCAGTAAACATATTGCCCATTTTGTCCGGTTATCCTTGTGGGTGATATTTTAAATCACCCTGTACCAACAATATTTCTGTGACTTTGTAAAGAGGTGTTTTGTAGTTGTGGGCCGCCTTCTATGTATAATTCCCCACAAATTGATGACCATTTGGACAGTACAACTCAGATAGACACTTGTGCACACACATATATATCATTCACGCACTTACACATATTGCACACACACACTATTACTCTCTATCTCTTTCTTTCTCAGCACCACACACACACACACAAATCTCAGCACCACACACACACACACTCACACAAATACACCCCCCCCCCCCCCCCCCCCCGCATACACACACTACTCCTACCTTTTGTCCACTTTTTAATCAGAATCACTCCTCGATTTCGAATAATCCCCCCCACTGCATAAAAGATCAGTAGAATCTCGATCTCGCGAATCTAGAAATATACTTAAAAAACAAACAAACAAACTGCCGTATAGGTACATGATCTAATATAGATATGTTAGGACTTGCCTATCGGCATAACCATGCCATTCGAATCTGTCATGTCAAATCCTCAAAATACAAAGATATTCCATGTTGCCAGATGGCAGTTCACTAGATTCGGTCAAATACATGTATGTGGGGATGATTTACCAAAATAACAAGCAAACCATATGTGGCCTAAATAAGGTTAGGGAGGGGGATTTAGCTTATATAGGCCATATATGTATGTATATATATTCGCTTACCTTTGATACATATAATCCAAAGTTGTGCTCTTTACCACCACGGATATTAAAGCCAAGCTGTGAAAGAAATTGGAATTCTAATAATTTTCATTTCCTGTACATTCAGTTTTTGTGGAAGTAAAATAGGGGTACAAAAATACACAATTGAAAGTAGATAACTTCTCTCATTATGATCAGGATCCAAGGTCAAAAGGTGAGCTGATTTTAGTGGGTCTGCAAAATCAAATTGTAAATCCCAGTCATTCTGACATAGATACCCGGATACCATTGAAAGCACACACAATATATATACATATTATATAGAAGTGATATGTTACAATACTATTTACCTTTTAATTGGGGTTAACACACATTTTAGGTATGATATGTAGTGTATGTTGGTCTTTATTAGAGTAATTAGACTGCCTTTAAAGACAGCAAAAGGAAGCTTACTTTAAAGAGCTGAAGCAGTACAGTCTGAGAACTGAGGTTGTATACTTGAAAAAGCAATGAAAGTGAAAGAGGGTAAAAAAATACGTGACCATCATTTCAAATTGAAACAAGTCCATGTTTGGAACAGTATGGTCTAAATAAGTATGTCCCACATGACATTTAATTGTTGCCACGCACATCAGGACCAGTAACATTGTTGTGACAACTAAATTAACACCACAAAAAAAACCCAAACAAAAAACAAGATAAATTCTAGCGATCCCACAAGTTTTTAAAGTAATAGATTTTTGGCAGGCGTTATTTTCACGACATGTCATGGAAAAAAGTGTGTGTGTGTGTGTGTGTGTGTGTGTGTGTGTGTGTGTGTGTGTGTGTGTGTGTGTGTGCGCGTGTGTATGTGTGTGTGTCCTTTTTCGTGACATGTCAAAAACATACCGGCTCTTACCGCACATTTTTTGGGGGTAGATCTAGATCTAGTATCTACAAAGTAGCTACCGATTTTGGAACTGTTCAACCGCCATTCCGATAAGGTGTCAAAACTATCGGATTAGCCATGGGCGCCGAGAGTGCTTCCGCCAACTTTCCCTTGCAAAACCCGTAGTCTACATCTCGAAATTCTGTTCTTGCCGCATCATCTATGCCCACTGAGCGTCAAAAAATTAAATTAAAGAGAGAGAGAGAGAGAGAGAGAGAGAGAGAGAGAGAGAGAGAGAGAGAGAGAGAGAGAGAGAGAGAGAGAAATAAGAGAGAGAATCTAACCATCAGCAGTTAGTTGTAGGTCTATTTGCGCGCACTCGACCATTGTCCCTCTGTGAGGCTCGGTCGTGAAAATAACGGCTGCCAAAATAAAGATTAATAAAATATTTTTAAAAAGTGAAGGGGTGCTCTGGTTTTGGCATTCAACAATCGAATGCATAAATGGTGGAACATTTAAGTAGAGTACAGGATTGGTAATTGTATCGTGAGGATTGATGGCTCCCGGGAAAATGCTTACTACTATCAAAGATGTGATGACAAATTGAATTTGGCCTTTCTGAGCCTAAAATAAAAAAAATGAGATTCACACCAAGAAAAGCCACTATTTAACTTTAAGCAGGCCTAAACTGGTAAAAGGAAAAACAAATAATTGTTGGGGGGGGGGGGGACCCCTTCCGAGGCTTGTTCATCCCAAAGTCTTGGATCCATTGCAGTCTTAATTCTCTCCAGAATGATTCTGATGAAGACCTTGCCTAGTTTACTGAGAGAACAGTGATCCCTCTGTAGTTGCTGCAGTTGCTGAGATCCCCCTTTTTGGAAGCTTCACAGGGATTCCTTCTTTCCAATCCTTTGGGAACTTGCTCTCATTCCAGATCCTGGAAAACAATGGGAGAAAGAGGTCGGCCGTCACATTGGCATCGGTCTTTAGGGCCTCAGGTGATCAGGACTGGTCGCTTTTCCTTTGTTCAGGCTCTTAATGGCATCCGGAATCTCTTGTTTTGAAGGACCTTCACAACAGTTTGGGAACTCATTTCTTGCAGACAGCATATTTGGCGGGTTACTTGGTGGTTGTCGGTTCAGGAGACTGCTGAAATGCTGTTCCTGTGTTGCTAGACGTGTGAAATTTATTTCCCAACTCCCTGCTGCCCTGAGTATACGGCCAGCCAGGAAAACAATGTCTTCAAACCATTGTTACATGCAGATGAGGTGTGTGTGTGAATGTGTATGGCTTTTTTCGTCTTTGCAGACGCTCAGTTTAGCTTAAGATGGTCTCAAGGTTGTCTTCATGCAGCTTCTTTCAAGGCTAATTCTTCCATGTTTGAAGCAAGGATTCTGTCACAGTGTTTGCATGTCAGTGACGTGGAACGAAGCTCTGTATTTCCGTTGTTTTCCTTTCGTCGTTGGCGCTCCTCAGGCTGGCTGTTTCTAATGCTGCTTTATCATTTTTCCTCCATGTTTTCCTGTCCTCAGCTATTTCTTCCCAGATAGTAACATCTACTCCAAGCTTAGATAAGCTGTTTTTGCAGGTAAGTGTCTTTGTACCTCAATTTTGGTCTTCCTCTTGGTCTCTTTCCCTAGGCAAGTTCTCCATAGAGAAGTCGCTTCGGAATCGGTAGTCATCCATTCTCTTCACATGGCCCGGCCATCTCAATCTTTTAAAACACAGGATAGTTGTCATGCTCCGGAGTTTTGCCCGTGCCAACACTTGTAACCTTGTCAGGCCACGAAATGCGTAAGATCTTGCAGCAGCATCTGAGATGGAAAATGTCGAGGCGCTTTTCTTGCCTGCTGTACAAGGTCCATGTTTTAAATCCATAAAGGAGTGTACTGAGGACACATGCTTCGTAAATTTTTATCTTTGTTTTGATGGTTAATCTTTTGTTTTCCCACGCTCGTCTTGTCAGCATTACAAAAGTTGTTGCTGCTTTCCCTATCCTGGCATTGATAGCATAATCAAGTGATGTAGTAGAGCTGATGGTATACCCCAGGTAACAGAACTTGTCCACTGTCTCAAGTTCCTTGTGATTCAGCCATATATGGCTCTGCTCTGACTGTTTTCTTAACACCGATGATCAAGCTAAAGACCTTGCATGCTGTTGATAGGCGGTCCATCATTGTTTGTAGGGTTGATTCACTGTGAGCAACAAGAGCAGCATCATCAGCACAGAGAAGGTCTCGTACTGTTGTTTTGTTGATCTTGGTCTTGGCTGTGAGTCGAGCAAGATTGAAGAGCGACCCATCAGTTCTCCAGTGGAGGAAGACATCCCCAGGTGACTCTTTGAATGCGTGTTGGAGTAAGACAGCAAAATAAGTGCTAAAAAGGGTTGGTGCAAAGACACAACCTTGCTTTACTACGGTATCGATGTTGAAGCTGTTTGATGTTGAACCGTCAAACTGAATGGTGGCCTTCCTATCTTCGGGGAATGAGATGATGGGCTGTAACAGTATTGGGGAACAGCCAATTTTTCCAAGCACCATGTACAATCCTGATCTACTGACTGTTTCAAAAACCTTTGTCAGATCGACAAACGCAGTATGTAATGGCAGTTGTTGCTCCCTGTATTTTCTTATAGCTGACGAATAGAAAAGATCATGTCCATTGTTGAGCGGTTTGAAACTGCATTGGCTTTCTGGTAGGACTCTTTCTGCTAGTATCTGAAGTCGCTTCAGGATGATCCGAGCGAAAGCTTTTCCAGTGATGCTTAGCAGTGAGATACCTTTGTAGTTGTTGCAATCTCCTTTGTCCCCTTTGTTTTTGTAGAGTGCGGTGATTATGGAATCTCTCATGTCATGTGGAACTTCTGCTTTCATCCAACAAGTCGTTAGTACCTTGTAGAGATATGGGAGGAGGGTCTCTTTGTTCTCTTTCAGCACTTCAGCAGGTATGTTGTCATTTCCTGCTGTTTTTTCGCAAGTGAGTTCATCGATTGCAGAAGAGAGTTCTTCTTCTGTTGGTGTTGAATCAAGTTCTGACATTTCGGAGAGTTGAAGAATGGCCTCATGTATTGAAATCTTGACTAAGCTAAATGCCTGTGCCTCACTGTATGGAGAATATGCCTTGCCCAATTTGCACGAACCCCCTCTCGACTTTGCTGATTTAGTCCAAAGGAGCGAAGAGGTCAATACATTTGGAACCAGTAGAGTTGCAGAGGCTGCCAGAAGATAGTTAGGATCATTCCTCCCTGTTGACTGCCTTAGGGGCCCTCCCTCCAGATTTGTCTAGGGTTTACTCCCATAGCTTTTCATATTCCCTTATAGCATTGGTTGATTGTACTTATTACAGGGTTCCTGCCATGAACTTCTCATCAAATTCAAGGAGGTTTCAAGGAGAAATTTTTAAAATTCAAGGAGATTTTGTCACAAAATTCATGACGAAAGCTTATTTTTGATAGGCCTACACTTGTCCGAAAGGAACCATATATCATAGTTTCGATTTTCCTACAAAAACTGTTCCCAGGGTGACTGCCAACCCGGTTTCTCAATTTTCAAGGCAGGGGGCGCTCATCCATTCTCCAAGGGCATGTTACATAACAATGACAGTGCATGCCCCATTTATATATTATATAATATATATATATATATATACACACACACGTGGCACGCACGCATGTGGTACATTATATCCAGTCAACAACATGCCGTCAGTGTGGCACTGGGATACTGTGACTTGGGTTTTTCAGTCTGTTCTTACTTATTTATATTTTCCCCTCATCATTCGCCTGTATTAACTATATTAAAATGAATCTTGCTTTGAGCCTGAAAAAAGGCCTAGAACCAGAATATCCAGTGTCAAGAACCAGTTTAGGGTGTTAAGGTTTATATAATAAACGTGAAAGACAAACATTACTGCTCTAACTCAAAGTAGAGTAATAACATGAATGGCTCAAGTAGACCTATTCAGTGTGAGAGGTGTAAGAACTGCGGGAGGGCAAGATGCAGTGACACTGAAAATCTGCAAATCTTGAACAAAAAGCTTAAATATAGAATATATACAATCAATGAAACGGGAACCCTTTAGTTACAAAAAATACGGCTTACAAGGTTTGAGTATGCCAGATCCCGATTCCACACAAGGCCTGCACCAACGCGCGCTGTGCAGAGAGCTCTAGATAGTAGTAATCAAAATTCTGAAAAGTAAAATCTGCTTCCAAGTTCAGTTTTTGTCATCCGGTGTTGCCTTCAACCCCCCCCCTCCCCCGCGTGTGTCTTTTAAAAAAATCAATAATCCTCCCATTCCCGAGTCCTGTACTTCGCAGCGCTCAGACTTTGCATGAACTTTGGTGACCTCAACCATCGCCGATAGGCGATACTCACGATGTGACGAAAACGCACAGGTTCAATGACCGGTCACGACAGCGAGCCCGACAAGAAGCTTTCTTTTTCTTTCTGTTTTTTTCACAAGTGACAGCACAGGACAAACGAATTATTTTCATTGAGACACAGCGTTTGTAATGCAGAACCTGCATGGTGTTACAAATGTGGCGCTATCAGTCTACTATAGGCCGTACCGGCAAATTTCTTGGTGGTAACGAAAGCGAAAGTATATCTTGATTTTCCCGATCGAGCTTCGGTATCACATATAACACTTCCACTTGTTGCCGCCATAACCGCCTGTGCGCGTCGGGAAAAGCCGAATGAATTATATTATATCACAACCGCCACCCGCAAAAATGGACTCAAGGACGTTATCGGATTTGGTTTTCAAATATTCGAGAACGTTTATGTATTTTTTCGGGTCTTTCACGGGGCAACTTACAGATTTCTTCAAATTCCCGTTGCATTCCAGGTCTCGGCGATTTAAAAAAAAATAATTCTTGGGTAATTCCAGGTGCCCCCGGGATTCCCGGGACCTGGAGGTCACTCTGTACACGTGTTCCTGTCCGATCTGGCAAAATTCAAGGAGTTTTCAAGGAGATTTTTCCTTGAACGCAAATTCAAGGAGTTTTCAAGGAATCCTTGAATTCAAGGAGGCCGCGGGAACCCTGTTATTAGATTGATGAGTAGGTCTAGGGGTGAAAAGAAAGGAGAAGTTCAATTGTTTCTGTTTTTCCATTGGTCAAACATTGATCCTAGTCCTATGAGATGAGATGGCAATAATGTAAGACTGACAAAATAATAATAATAATAATAATAATAATAATAATAATAATAATAATAATAATATATAACATTTATATAGCGCATTTCCAAAAAAAAGTAACTCAATGCGCTTTACATTGGAATACCAATTTTTCAATACCATTATAAGAGAGGCTAGGATGGCACTTCGAAGGTGTGAACTTTTTGCCACTGCCTGCCAACAGGATAGGTGACCTTGATCCACCACATACGGGCCGGCCTCAGGAACCCCCCCCCCCTCCCTTTAATTCCCTGCCAAAGGCGTAACATTTCTGAGACATAATTTTTTTCCTCCCAGCTTTGTCTTGGAAGGTATGACTGTTTGACTAGTTGTTGAAGGTTTCCCAATCACCAATACTACAAATTGGACCCATATTTCAGAGCTCATACTTAATGTAAGAGAATATAACAAAAACTTCTCATTTGATTCTCATTTCAATGTTATATTCATATTAAAATAATAGCAAACTTTGTGGCGGGGATATGCGCTGTCTATACAAATGCTATATTTTAAAATTATTATTATTATAATCCATTTATAGAAAAAAATGAATTTCTTTTTCTTAAACTAAAATGAATGGATGCTACGGAATCCTCATAAAACTCATACACACACACACACACACATGATATAAATAAATAAATATATATATAGGCCTATATAAACTAGTCAACAAAAGTTAAGGAACGTACTGTAAAAACAGTGATATATTTGTATGCATTCTTTCGAGGTTTTACTTTTACTCGAAAAACTAGGCATTGGTGAAATGTTACTCTATGACTAATGGGATTGTACACACAAGGGTTTGAAGTGCACGTGACTCCTGTGCGATGAGCTGGGGAGGGGGCAAAAAGGTCCAATGTTTTCCAATTATCGATTTTTATTCTCTAGCTCTTACCGTCAGGAAAAATTATGAACGCTCAAAAATCAGTTTTCAATTGCAAGATTCATGTCTCGTGAGTGACTTGCACTCGCTCATTTTCACTGTGGATACACCATTCTGCTGCTGTAGGGCTAAGCATAAACATGCCTCCTCGACAGAAATTGTCTGATGTAAACAGAGGACGAGCCATTGCTTAAGTACAAGATGGTGTTTCACTCCGACAAGTTGCTACACGTCTTCGAGTGTCCGTTTCTGTCATTTCACGACTGATTCAGCGTGCCAACGCCACCGGTAGTGCCCAAGAGCGACCCAGATCAGGTCGACCAAGAGCCACTAATGCAAGGGAAGACCGATTCATTCATAGACAGGCTCGGCAGTCGAGATCCGCTCCTGCAAATCGCATCCGGACACGGCTGAGAGCGGCAACTCGTGTTAACATTAGTTGTCAGACAGTACGAAGACGTCTTCATGAGTTTGGACTTAATGCACGTCGACCAGCAGTCCGCCAACGTCTCACACCAGCACACAGGGCTGCTCATCTTGCCTTTTGGCGACGCCAAGTAAGATGGACACGTCAACAGTGGGCAAACTTTCTCTTTAGCGACGAGTCCCGGTTCTCTTTGCATCACAATGACGGCCGTATCAGGGTTTGGAAGTGACCCGGAGAGCGGAACCGCCAGAGAAGTGATGCCTTTTGGAGGTGGTTCCGTGATGGTATGGGGTGCTTTCAGTTTGAACTACAGAACACCTCTGTACCAAATGCTAGGGAATCTCACTGCAATACGTTACCGAGATGAGATACTCTGCCCATTAGCACTACCTACTCTGCAGCAGATGGGGCCACATGCAGTGTACCAGGATGACAACGCCCGACCTCATAGAGCGTTGCTTGTCCAAAACTTCATGCAGCAGGCTGGCATCAACCGAATGGACTGGCCGGCCTGCAGTCAGGTCTTGAATCCCATAGAAAACCTCTGGGATGAGCTGCAACGTCGAGTCAGAGACAACCACACCCCTCCAGGAGACGCGCAGCAACTGTTTCAGATGCTGTAGGCAGAGTGGCAGGGGATGCCTCAGAGAGAGTGTTCACCAACCTCATGAACTCGATGAGGAGCCGGTGTACTGAGTGCCAGTACACTCGTGGGGGGCATACTCATTATTGAAATCATCTGAACTGTTTGGTTTTTGTTGCAGTCAGAAGTTAAAATAACTTCGAAACCGCTTAACAATTTTTGGGATTTGGGATTTTAACCCCTACCAAACTCAATTAACTTTTCAAGCAAGTTAAAATGAAATAACTTTATTTTCCTTTTTGGTACTTGCTATACACATGTTGATTAAAATGTGTACCAAATTTCATTGCGTGTTGATGTTTGCTTTCGAAGTTATACACCTTTTCTCAAATGTTCCTTAATTTTTGTTGACTAGTTTATATTATATTACACTCACTGCATCTGATGCTTTCAATCTGTTCAGGACAACAGTACGCGGTAAGAAGAACTTGAGATTATTGTCATAGTCAGGATGATGCATACGCTGTGGAAATTAAAAGCACAAATAATAATGTGTTGAGAGAAACATGGCATAAAGGCAAATAGCAAAGAAAAGAATTTGTTATAATGTTTTAAACACAACCTGGTACCGGACAGTGACATGTTTCAGCATTCAGAAGAACCGTAGATCTCATTTGGAACTTACACTTACACTAGAAACTTGATGCTGCTGCAGATCAGACGATGAGCCAAAAATACAGTTGTTTGTGTGTATGTGTGAGTGAGTGTGTGTGTGTGTGTGTGTGTGTGTTGTTTGTGTGTGTTGTTTGTGAGTGTCTTTGTGTGTGTGTGTGTGTGTGTGTGTGTGTGTGTGTGTGTGTGCGTGTGTGTATGTGTGTGTGTGTGTGTGTGTGTGTGTGTGTGTGTGTGTGTGTGTGTGTGTGTGTTTAGGGAAGATAGAGAACAAAAAGTTGGGAGGTACGGCTACTCAACAGCCTATTGTGAGTCCAGTGAGACCAGACAATGAGAAGTCCTTTTTGAATTCTGATGGGTTTTGGCCCATTTTTTCCCCATGATAATTATTGTCTTCAACTTTACCAAATCCCCCCCCCCCTTATTTTTTCAACTAGAACAAGACATTTTTGTATGGCAAGAATTTCATTTTGTGAGGTTTCTGGGACGATTTAATTGATCAGACTTTGACCCTTAAATCAAGTATTGAAATAGACCATCCTCTTTACTTTAGCTGCCTCATTAAAGTCACTGAGAGGGAGTCCATTAACTGCAAAATGATTTTTTTTTGGGGGGGGGGGGTAGAATAGCGACGGGGTTGTGCGACAGGGGGGTCAGCGCTACAACCCTGTGGTAAGAACCAATTAAGACATGTTAGAGCGTTCCCGCGTTTATCAACATCAGACAGTCTGAGACAGCACCCTTTCCTGTGGCTCCAGATTTTTGGCTGATCGCTCAGGTTGTTTTCTGCTCGTACACAGAGGCAAACTATTTTCAGGCTCGCTGATTATGTATTCTAACAGAGCATCGACCTGCAGTTGTAAGGCTGTCAATGCATTTTATGAAGATGTGTACACCTGTACTACACACAAAGTAGTGTGTTGTACGTGTAGCATCAGTGGTAAGCAAAGCACGGAGCCGGCCAACCTCTCTGAGGGGATGGATGGGGGTAGGTGCGCAGTGCTGACATGGCTTCTGGTAAGGCGGGGTTTCGCGTGTCAGACTTCTGCAGCGAAAACGGGGTAATATTCTATTGCATCAAGGCCCACACCAGCCACCTGACACAGCCTCTGGACCAGGCGTTCTTCGAGGCCATTATTACGCCAGCGTGGCAAGAGGGGATAAGGAAGTTTGTGACGGACACCATGGAATCTGTTGCACTGGGGGACGTTTTCTGGTGTCCTGAATTGAAGGCCTGGACAACAGCAGCTCGGCTAAAAACAGCCCTGAGGGGATTCACCAAGTCACGGCTGTTTCCCTACAACCCTTACGATGTCCTCACAAGTGACGAGCTGAACCCAGCTGCACCTTCACAGGGTTAGCTTGGGGAGGAGAAAGTGGACCTGTACCTCAAGATGTATGACAATGGATACGACCACAAGATCGACCCCGACTACAACATGTGGTCCAGTCTGATGGACAATATTGAACAACTGGCTCCTCTGCTCCACCAGCCATCAGCAAGAGCCTTGGAACCTCAGACCCCCTTTGGGGAGATGACTATCGACAAGGCGCTCACATTACCGACACGTTCAAAGAACAAGGCCGTTAGAAGGCCCCAGCCACCTGTGCCACCGTCCACCAGTGGAAAAATGACTATAAAGAGATGATACTCACGAAGAAGAGGAAGGCGGAAGAAGAACAACAATAGCAGAAGGAAGAGAGAAAAAAGCAAAGGGAGCAGAGAAAGATGGAACGGCTAGCACAAGCTGAAGACAAAAGGAACGCCAAAAAGAGAAGAAAAAACAAAGGGTGCAGGCAAAGAAGGAGAAAGAGGAGGAGAAGAAAAGGAGAATTCAGCAGAAGAAGATGAATGCTTTGGTTGTGGCCTCACAGAAGAAGGACGACGAAGATTCCTCCAACTCAGGAGAAGAGCTGGTGTATGACGACAGCTCCGACGATTGTGGGGACATTGCGGTCGACTGGGCTAGGTGTGGAGCCACCTCCGCAGAACAAGTAGTGCGCACCCAGTGCATGCTTTGTGACAAGCGGTGGCACGCCATCTGTGTCAAACAGATGGACCTGAAAGATAAGACTCGGGAAGACCTGGATGCCATGGACATTGGTAGCTCTTTTGCTGTGCTGACTAATCTTTCCTTCCCAATTTGTTCCATACAAATAGTGTGAAAAGTATCTTTGTTTATCCATGAGCAATTAGATCCACATGTTTCTACTTAGCTGTTCTTATATAATTTAATTCATAATTTTCAGAGTAATCTAGACTCACTAATACTAATAGATTACTGTTTCCATTGAAAGTGTTGGCTTCAGTTATTTATTTTATTTCTTTCTCTTTTGGCTACACATAAAAACTGAGTGTCTCTTGTAACTCTTAACTCTTTTGTGCAATTTGTAAGAATATCTCCTGCTTTGTGGTTAGAAAATCATACGATAGCCTATAAGATTCATAATAAGAAGTTATCAGGGCATGTTGCAAGACCCGCCCTATCCTAACGCGCAGCCCCTCCATAAAACGCGCCACCCTCAAGCAGGAACGCGCAACCCCGCTCATTGTCACACACATCCGCCCTCACTTTGCCTCACAAATACCACTTCTGAGGAAGACTGGCAAACAAAGAAGGCATAGCGTGCTGAACCGACGATAGCAGACGAAATTAGCTTCTCATCAGTTATTGTGCAGTTACCTCCCCTTTCACCGGGGACTGGCAAGGTCACTTTTTATGCTTAGGGTAGCGCAGACTACCCCCTGTACTCGACGATACCCGTAAAAGTGTTTTACGGCGCTCGCAACTGCATAAAGTCATATGAGCGCGTTGGACACATTAACATTTTCAGTCGGTAGAAAATTTTAAATTTTGCCCGTGTGGCGGCCGAAGCCTACTCTTATCAATTTTAGACCACCAAGGGATCTTTAACCTGCGCAACTTGCACACGTCCCTCCGAGATTTTTCGCCCTTTTCCGAGAAGGCTAGGTATAGATCTTTCCTACCAGAAAATCAGGGGTGTGGCTGAAAAAAAAGCAAGTAAGAAGGAGCCAAGGAGTAGCAGTAGCAGAGGTTGCAGAAAGAGTCGGGAGCCCAGAGGGGACAAAGGAGGTGAGGGGGTGGGGGCCGAAAGAGGAGACGACAGAACATTGCTAGAAAGCAGGAAAAGAGGTGAAAGGAGACAATTTTAGAGAAGCAAATTTTTCTTTCACTACCCGAATTCGAACCCAGGACCTTTGAATGAGAGGCCAACACCTTAACCTCTAGGCCATAAGAGCCCCCGAAAAATGAATATATGGCAATCAAACAAAGAGTGACCCTGCTAACCAGGGCCAGAGGAAACCCAGGTACCAGAAAGCAAGCAGAGTTGAAAACAATAATATCATGTAGGCTATTACTATTATTCAGTGGAGTTCGCCTAAACCGAAATCAGCAGGACCATAGCATTCTCTACTGTTCAGCGAAGAGTTTGATTTTGAGAGGTTGGCTGCTCAAATAGATTCCCCCCCCCCCCCCCCAAAGGAATTTTTTTCTTGGTTTACCACACTGTTTTCAGATTAACCCTGTTTGGCTTAACACGCAAAAAAACAACAACAACCATAATGTAAAACATACTGTACAAAACATAAGAAATTTAAAGAGATACAGTCGAACCTATGGAAGATGGAATCACAAGGGAACCAAAAAACAAAATCCGTCTTAGAAAGAGAAAGGGGAATTTAGTGGGGAGGAATCACAAGGGAACCAGAAAAAAAAATCCGTCTTAGAAAGAAGGAGAGTTTATAAAGAGAGATCATAGAGGGGGAAAATCGGGGACTAAGGATTGCCTTGTTGTAGCCGACTTCTTGTTGAATGAGACACCCACATGTAGGCTACCATTTGTTGCTCACGCCTTTATTCAAGTGTTTGTTGAGGGTTAGAGGTAAGGGTAGGGGTAAAGTTTGTGGGGGGGGGGGGGTAAAAGTGTTTTACGGCGTTCACAACTGCATACGGTCAAGTGAGCAAGCAGAACACACCAAATATTTTAAGTTGGTAGGACATTTTGAATTTTGCACGGGTGGCAGCCGAAACCTGCATGTAATATATATATATTTGGACCACCAAAGGATCTTTAATGTGCGCAACTTGCAGACGGGACCTCCGAGATTTCTCGCCCTTGTCTGAGAAGGCTGGCTAGGGGTAGATCTTACACCTACCATAAGATCAGGGTGTGGCTGAAAGATAGCAGTAAGCCAAGGAGAAGCAGAGGAAAGGCTGCAGAAAGAGTCAGGAGCCAAGATGAGGGGGCAAAGGAGGTCACTATCCAAATTCGAAACCGGGACCTATTAAAAGAGAGGGAAACACTTTACCCTCAAGGCTACGGGAGCCCCCGGGGGTAGGGTTTGGGGTAGGGGTAGGGGTAGGGTTAAGGGATAATTTAGGGTTAGGTCAATTCTTGTGTTTGTTGAGAAGGTCGCTTGTTATGGAAGCCCTTTTCAGTATATTGGGGGGGTAATGTCTGTAATGTTTGTGATTATGATTATTTTATAAGTCAGTTATTAGTTTGAGTGTGATTAGCAGGGAACGTTTTCTTTTTAGGGTAGTCGCATCACCCGACCAGTCCATTTTTTTTTTGGGGGGGGTTGTTGTTTTTTTTTGGGGGGGGGGGTGCTTGCCCCTTGAATAAGATAAGTTTTAGGGCGGTATGTCTTTTTACCAAAACTCTCGAAAATCACCGAAACCCACAAACAATACTCACCGAAACTCACCAAAACAACTCTACCGGTATGGAATAATTTAACTAACATTCTTTTTATAAACAATGTCAATATTGTATTTCAAATGAAATGTTTGAGAATACAATATTTATTATTATAAATGTAAATGTATGTTATGTATGTATAGTATAGGGTTT